TTCATAAAAATTAAAAAAATAAATATTAATTTATATTATTAATTAATACACATATAAATTTAATTAAAATTAAAAAATAAATAGAATTTATATAATATATTATAAATTAGTTTAACATATGTAAAATAAATTCTATTTATTTATTTAAAAATATAAAATAAAAATATTAAAAAACAAATATGGGGGAAATACGATATATATATATATATATATTTATAATAATATAAAGGTATATTTTATTTATATAAATGTTAATGTTTAGAATATATTTATCATTTAATAGGATTTCTTTAAGGAATTATATATATTTAGAATATTTTTGAGAAATTTATTTCGCTTTTGTTTTGTGTTTATTTTTTAATCGTGTTCGTGTAAATTTCATACTAATTTATTTATAACAATACATTATGAGATTTATAGCACGATATTTTTCTTTATTTCGAAATCCAGGCATAATTAATATAATTCGTTAAACAAAAATTATATTATAATATTAAATATTTATATATTTAAAAAACAAATTAATATTGTTTAAAGAAAAGAAAAATAAAAAAATAGTAAATAAATTCAGTAAAAAATATAATTAAAAAAACACAAAACAAAAAAAAACAAAAAGAAAGAGGAGACAAAAAAAAAATAAAAAAATAATTAAAAAAATAAAGTAATAAAAAAAATAAAAACTAAAATTACAAAATTTAAACAAATAAAAATACATCAAAAATTCAATCCATAACAAAAAAAATATACAACTCAAAAATAAAAACAATCACGCACAAACAAAACAATTTATCCAAGATATCACTATTATAATATATAAAATATATATTTTTTTCAATCAATGTTATATTATTATAATTTTATATATATATAATAAAAAGTATAATTATAATTCCATCAATAATAATACCAATAAACCCAAAAACAAAATGCAAAAAGAAAAAAACAAAATCTTTTAGAAAAAGCAAAAATAAAAATAAAAGATTATTATTAGTGAAAATTTTCGAAATCAAAACAATAATTCCCCCAAAAATATTTCCAATCCCAAAAACCAATTAACCCCAATTCTAAGCAAGCTATTCCTCATTTTGTGGGCAATAAAATGTTCCATAAAAAAAAGAGAGAAAGACAAAGAGAAAGAGAAAGAGAAAGAGAAAGAGAAAAAGAAAGAGACTCTTAGAGAAAGAGATTCTTTCTCTTTCTCTTTCTCTTTCTCTCTCTCTTTCTCTTTCTCTTTCTCTTTCTCTTTTCTTTCTCTTTCTCTTTCTCTTTCTCTTTCTCTTTCTCTTTCTCTTTCTCTTTCTCTTTCTCTTTCTCTTTCTCTTTCTCTTTCTCTTTCTCTTTCTCTTTCTCTTTCTCTTTCTCTTTCTCTTTCTCTTTCTTTCTCTTTCTCTTTCTCTTTCTCTTTCTCTTTCTCTTTCTCTTTCTCTTTCTCTTTCTCTTTCTCTTTCTCTTTCTCTTTCTCTTTCTCTTTCTCTTTCTCTTTCTCTTTCTCTTTCTCTTTCTCTTTCTCTCTCTCTCTCTCTCTCACAGTCAGAGAGAAAAAGGGAAAGAGAGAGAGAGAGAGAGAAAGAGAGAGAGAAAAAGAGAGAAAAAAAAGATAGAACGCAAGGAAGCAAATGGAGCTTAAAAGAGAGAAGATACGACACACAACAACGCGGAAGTATGCCATCTTTGTGAACCGACCCGCAAAAATACGCGCACATAGACAGAAAGATAAATAAAGACAGAAACAGATAGAAACAAACATTACCAAATAGACAGACGCGGACACGCGGCAATAGACAGAGAGACACAAAAAGACGCAAAGAAATAGAGACGAACGACAGACACGGACAAATAGACAGACAAATAAAGACACCTCGCACCGCACACTTTGGAAATGACGCACACATACGCACGATAAACACAATCGGCATTGAAAAAACACCGCGGTGCCTAAAACTGATCGCACAAACCTCTAGGTTTCATAGGGCTTTCATGCCCTGCTGGCTCCGGTCATCTGGCAAACCTTGCTTGCAACTTACACCATCTTGAAGAGGTTGGCACTCTTCAAGAACAGATTTGCCTAGCAGGCACTCGGTGGAGCGCTGGCTAGCATATCGCGCTTCATCTTGCCTGAAAGCATGCCCCCGGTCAGCTGGCTTCATATTTGCCTGGATGCATTCAACTCACAAAGGGGCCTGCGGCAACCCAGCCTTGATTGCAGTACATCAACATCGGGTTGCACCAGCAAGCAACCCGGGAAAGGTAGCCACGGCACAGTGGGCAAAGCCCTCCGCACCCAAATAAGAGGTGACAAAAAGGTTCGTTACAACTGGTTTCGGTTTCCACCACCCCTTCCCAAAAAAAGAAAAAAGAAGAAAAAAACACGCCCGTGCGTGAAAAGTAGTGGCCAACAGTTTACGCGCCGATGCTGTGTGCGGATCCATTATCAAACAGTTGATTCTTTTGCGGTGCTCATGGCTGCTCAGGGCCGCTAATACTGTGTGGCTTGTGTGCAACGGCTTCTGGTTTCCTCTGAAATCCTCGCCCAAGCTGGCAGGTTTTGGATGGAGCCCTCTGCGTCCCCAGCACCCGCGACTGCAGTTCTTGAACCCTTTTCCGAAAAGCGCCGCTGACCTCTCCGTGCCTCGAATTCTCGGGCTTCGCGGCTGCGCCTGGGTGAGATTCTAGCTTGTGGCCTAGCCGAGCTACCCGCCGTCGACATGAGGCCTTTTGACGCATTTGAAGCGGAACCTGACCCTGATCCGCTTTTGAAGGAATCCAATTTCAAGTTTCAATGGCAATGAGCATAAGCTTGCTCGGCTTCCCAATCAAAAGGATCAATCTTCTAAAATCAAAACACAAACACGCAAACGCACACACACCCACACACCCAAACACACACCAACACACACACACACACCAACACACACACACACACACCAACACACACACACACACAAACACGCATACACACACACACACACCCTCTTGCACGCAACGCACACACACACACATACATGTGGCAATCCCCCCTCTTTGATTCACGCTTCTGCTCTCTTACTCATGCGCTCGCGGTGCGTTGCACAGGATCAAAAGCCGCAATGGCTAAACAGAACACTGGTAAGACATCAAGCAAAAAAGGTCCTCAGAATGAAAGCAACTGTCTCAATATCGGGACTTGTGACATTGTGTCACCGCGTGTCAGGAAAACTTGCTCGTTCGTGATTCAGGCGCATGTCACCCAGCTTCCCTGGCAGAGGACCCCTTGCTTTCAAACCGCTGTGGTAAAAGCCTAATAGACCCTTAAATCACAGGGCTGGACACATACACACACACACACACACGCAGAGCTGGAAAACGCAGTGTGCTTTGAGTATCCCAAGTATTGCCTGAGCGATGCGAAGACACATGCGCATCAGAAAATGCACTCGCGCACTCACAACATACAGTTATACACATGGGCATATGTACAGAACACACTACTTGCGTACACATGCGGAAGCACACTTCTACACACTCGCAAACACATTTGCGCGCCCGCTGCACAAACGAGAGCACTGACCCCTATGTGTGCACACATGCCTACACGCTCAGTAACACGCGAAACACAGTTGAATACACTGTGAGCACACATGTGTCTGTACACTGACAAAACAAGAGCGCGCGCAGGAAACACTGCATGTGCACGCGTACGCTCAGGATATGCATGGGCCTGCTCGCAACACATGCGAGTACACAGCGTGCACACATGTGTTTTCGCCCCCGCAAACAAGCGCATGCAAACACACACACACACACATACAATTGACAAGATCAAAAAGAAGGAGTTTCGGCACCCCTTGCACGTAAAGCGTTCAGATATCACAGCCCTCATCAGGAATCAGCAGCGTCATCCGCTGCGATGCTTACTTGCTAAGCAAAGGCTCAGCACGGTGGCACCCCACTCCGTGAACAGAAAAGCCACCCACGCACGCACGCACGGCAGGCAGGTGTCCACAACTCGGGGCACGCACGCGCAGGTGCTGTAAAACCACACGTCGTCTGTTTGCCCTGCGCCAATCATCATGCGTACCAGCAGCACCCTCCAACAGCACCCTGCAACAACCTTCGGCTTGTGTCACCTCGCCAGCTGCATCCTCCAACAGCACAGCGCCCTGCAACAACTTGCGCCCTCCAAAACAGCATCCGTCCTGCAAGCTCACCAGTGCAACAGCGCACGGCAACAACTTGTCCTGCGTCACGCTTGTTAGAGGCACCCTTCAACAACACCCTGCAAGTCCATGCGTCCAGCGTCAAGCGACCTGCAGCACCCTGCAACAGCACCCTGCAACAGCACCCTGCAACACTCAAATCGTCTTGTCCCCCCTTCTTTACTTGAAGTTAGAGCCCCTATGAAAGCTATCTGGGAAAAACAAACCTACCACCACCACGCATAAACCCCACGTCACTAGCATTGTAACTTCCACGCGGGTTGCCTTCAACCTTATTCCAGGAAAGGGACTGTCCCCAGATAAAGAATGTCCTGGTGCAAAAGTAGGACCCTTGTGTTTGTCTTCAGAACAGGTGTCCTTGCCGTTCGAAGGCAACCAACACCACCCAATTTGATCATGCCCCTCTCGTGTTTGAGAAGATCGCAGGTCAGAACATACGAAATTCCAAGCTCAAGGCGCAAGCCACAGGCCGGAAAAAATATGCAGCGGGGATTGGCTCGCATTCGGCAGCTGGGTTCGGCTGAAATCGTGAAACTCCAAGGAATGTTACGCAGGGCGCCCTGACCTTTTCTGGGAAATGGCAAATTCCCCCTGCTTAAAAGAGCCAAGGTCGTACCCGCTGACAGATTTCTCGTGTTCCAGCTGTTCCTCATGAGCCTTTGCGGCCCTCCACTAGAGGGACAGGCCTGTGGCCAAACCAAGAAAGGAGCCACAAAGCGCGCCCTTGCAGTGAAAAAATGGGTAGGGTTGAGCAATGCTTCTCCATGACAGCGCCTTGCAGGGATCTGAATCGAATCTACGTCTTGCCCAACGGCGCAATGGTCAGCTCACCCCTACCCATCGGGCTAAACTCGTGTAGGATACATTCTCCGGCCCAGCCTGAGCAGGTGGCGGACCCGTCTGATTGCTGTCTTGGGCAGTTTTCACAAATGGGCTAGCCTTCATCCTCATTGGATGTTCCTGGCATTTCAAGCGCCATGTGCTCCTTGGTCATCCAAGTTTCGTTCTCCAAGGCTCGCGCTTAGTCTTGTGGAATGCCACGCTCTTCTCGCGTGACCACCTGGCCAGCTTCTGCGGCCAACGCAACCGAGCACCCAAATATTGTTGCGTTGCATGTTCATTGAAGATCATCTGCGCAATCAAATGGGCTTTCACAACCCAGCGCCAAGGGCGTTCGCCGGGAATCAGCAGAACGGGTCAGGGGGTGCCTGCCCTGACCTGCGAAAAAGTGTCCAGGTTCCCCAACTGTTCTGCGTCTCCAGTTGACTTCCTTGACCGCTGGTCTGGCTTGCTCTTTACTCTGTGCAGATGTGGAGGAGAGTCACTCATGATTGTCGCGTTGCTGGCTTGACCCAAAAGACTAGGCACAGAGCGCACTGTCGCATTTCTTTGAAACTGCTCCTCTCTGCTTCTTTGAGCCGCTGGGTACTCTAAATGAACAAACTGCAAATCGACCGGTGTGGTTGTCTCCACCAACAAGAAACTAGGTTGCTGGGTGACAAAAGATGTGGGCCCTTGAAGAACAGCTCTGGCGATGTCGAGCATGTGGAAATCCGAGAGGGTGTCAAAGCAACCCACATAAGGACATTGATCTTCGAAGCTTTTCCCCCAGCACCCTTCGTTTTGAGCAAGTCATGGTCAAACCCGACCACCCACCCCCACCCACCCACCCACCGATTTGCCGAGGGACAGCCCTCCTTTTGGTTCCCCGGGGTTCCATCCGTGCCTTTAATCGCAGCACAACCCGGCGGACGCGCTCCTGGACCTGGCGCGAAGGACGGCCTCCCAAAAGTTGCCTTCAACGTGTCACCCCCCCAAACCTAGGATTTTACATATATATATATACATGTATAATATGTGCCTTAATTCCTTTTCATCACTGAGCTCAAGATGACCTGGCGCCACAAAGCAAAGACCAGCTGGAATCTGCCCTCGCATCGCCGCAAAGAAGTCCGTTTTGAGTGCTCCAGAAAATGCAACCGACGCTTGAGCACATATCAAAGTTCGGGCCCTATCTGAATGGCCTGGGTGTGCGTGCGTGTGCTACAAGGGTGGGGATGTTCGGCTTCCGCAGACTGCACTGGCTCGCATGGGGCCCGCCTTGGCCGCCTGCTCCTCAGGAGGGGAGGCCTCGTCGATCCAAAGCTGCACCCAATTCTGAACCTGAGCACATGACTTGAACACATTGGCATGAGCCCAGGGTTTCGGGAATGCGCCTGAGAGTGCTTCATGGTTGGTGGCTTTTGGAAAGTAGGCTAGGGGCTAACCAAAGCCTAATCATCCGTTGAACCATTTGATTTTGGAGGTGCTAAGTTCGACATCTGGTCACTGGGGAGAAGTATGTTTGCTTGACATGTCCGTTAAGTGCGATCCCTTGTCGAAGCGACCTCACGTGATATGAAAAGCTGTGGTCATGAGACATGATATCATGCAGCCCGGCACAAAGCATCGCAAAGCTATGAAGCTCTCACACATAAAACTTGAGAAAGTGTCACGCGATGCATCCTTGCATGCGATACCTCATGACAGTCTTCTCATGTTATCGTCCGAAAAGCAAAAGCGGCAACAGCCGTCCCGGTTGCCTCGCTGGCACTTCTGCGCCACTCTGCCTTCTGTCCGCTTGGACCAAATGCCACAGGTCCCCGGCGTTGGTGCCCAAGTGCTGGGCAAGGCTGTCCAGCTGGCGGCGGCTTTGGCGGGGAGGGAAACAACCCATGCTGCAGCTGCACGAGAACTTGGGGTTTAGGCGCTGACAAGCTCACATCAGTTCAAACAAACAAACAAACAAACAAACAAACAATCAGTCGCAGGCAAGCAAGCAAACAAACGAGCAAGCAAACAAACAAGCAAACAACAAACAAACAAACAAACAAACAAACAAACAATCAGTCGCAGGAAAGCAAGCAAGCAAACAAACAAGCAAACAACAAAAAAACAAACAAGCAAACAAACAAACAAACAAGGAGGCATAAGGCAAACCCGACGCATGCATATATATATACACATACATGCATGATTCATACACAAACACTAACAACTGCATCTCGAGAAACAAAGACAAGCATTGTGGCAATGACACAGTCTCAGCTAGTTACTGAGCCACATTGCCTGCATCTGCATGCCTGCGTGTGCGGAGCTGCTCGGCTCAAGTTTCAGAGCGTTGCCGGAAAGCTGGAGATGGATCGTGCGGAGATTGTCCTTTAAAAAAACCTGCAGCATGGGAAGTGAGCACCCTAGGCTTCAGAAGTGCTGAATTTCAATCTTGGAGAAACGATTTGAGCTGCAAAGTCAAACAAGTTGCACGTGTAGAGGGGATCACGGACTGCTCCGGGAAGCTTACTTTGCATCCGCCTCTGCCATATCTGACAGTGGAGACTGTGCCACTTTGCGCGCTCTGATCCCTTTGTTGCTCTGTGCATTTCTTGTCAGTACGAAACGATGATTCTTCCCAAGCCTCGTTCCAAGCCCCTCCCGCCTGTGGAAAGATATTACAAATGGACTCGGCCATGGGGCAAATCACGAACTCGATGAAGCCCACCTACGCGGTGAAGTACCATCGTCTTGCCCGCGGGTGAAGGTGCCCTTTTCAATCGACTAGAGGCCAAGTCGGAAGTGTCTCCCTAGCTATCCCATGATTGCAGGTGGACAGCCTTTCTGACACCTATCACCATCTCAAGATCTGGCGAAGAGTGGTCCTCCTGAGTGCACTACCGTGGCGTCCTTCCCAAACATTCCCGTGGCGTGTTACTCCTTGGGTCCAAATAGAAGCCGCGCCTGTGAGTTTGGCCGGTTCACCTTCTCTCGGTCGTTCAACATTTGCACAGGGATGCCGCGCTCTTTCTCCATGTCGCCCTGGGCACAAGCGTTGCCATCCCTCCCCCTCAGAAAAAGTGCAGCCCGACTGCACACAGCCCGGCCAAAGCTGTGTGGCAGAATTTTCGTGTTCACAGGGTTTCCAACCTTTTGGGCTGGCCCAGGACCGGCCTGCGCGAAGAACTCATCTAAGCAGAGATGGGCGAGCTGGTAGCAAATGTCCCAGGGCCTCGAGCGGCACAGGCAACCGTGTCACTCAAACACGCCATCCAATCTCCCGGCTCTGAGCACCGGACTTCATCGGGTTGCCGATGTCAGCACAGTGCAATAGCGCATTCCTGAAACCGCAGTAAAAAGTGCAAGTAGCTTCAAATGACTCATCTGCTTTCAGAAAGCCTGGGAATAGCTGAACATGGTAATTTTCTGCAAGCATCTTGGTGGATCCAAGATCACGGGAGCAAGGTCAACAGCAAGTCTCATCCTTGAAGGTCAATGCTCAAGGCGCAAACCCATACATACATACATACATACATACATACATACGTACATTACATTACATTACATTACATTACATTACATTACATTACATTACAT